GGCATGTTTAGTCTTCTTTTCAAGGGAGAATTGTAGAAAAACACCTTAAGGTCTGGACCAGAAGATTTCACACAGACACAATGACCAGAATTTTGGAGGAACTCCAAGGACTGTACGTGCTGCAAAGAAGATGAAGATGAGGAAGAAGGGGTCCCATATGCCCCCAGACTCAATTCCTGAAGGTCACGTCAGGGATCAAAACGGGGCAGAACCGGGGGTGGACAGAATTGGGATTGGATGGACCTTATTATAAAATCATAGAACAACTGTTTGAGGGAACGTGCGTGGTATGTATTCCTCTAGGCCTACCGACTCATTAAAGGACCTGCTCTCTTTATCTTATCTCCTATACTTAATTGACCTGGAGTCTTTTTCTCCGCGGTCTTTTAGGTAACACAGAGAAGAGTAGGGTGAGAACATGGGAACAACAAAGTAGACATCAAGGTCAGTGCAGAAGGACGAGGAGGAGGTACTCCAGGCTCTGGAGCTGAGACCCCTGCAACCCATGGTGAAGACCATGGTAGAGTAGGTTGTCCCCCTGCAGCCCATTGGAGGATCATTGGGGTGCAGAGACCCACTTGCAGCCCATGGAGAAGCCCATACAGGTGGATGCATGAAGGAGGCTGTGACCCCATGGGAGGCCCAAGATGGAGCAGGGTCCTGCTTGGGACCTGCAACCTGAGGAGCAAGGAACCCATGCTGGAGCAGGTTTTTCCCAGGTAGGACTTGTGGCCCCTGTGGGGGACCCACACCAGTACAGCTCATTTGTGAAGGACTGCACCCTATGGAGAAGTGACCCATGGGACAGCAGTTTGGTAAGATCTGTTGCCTGTAGGATGGACTCACTCTAGAGAGGTCTGTGAAGGACTGCCTCCCATGGGAGGGACCCCACAGGAGCAGGAGAAGGACTCCTTTCTCTGAGCAACCACAGAAACAACAACTGACTGTAAACCCCATTCCCATCCCCATGCACCGCTGGGGGAGAGGAGGGAGAATATGGAGGAAGGAGGGGTGGGGGAAAGGTGTTTTTAAGATTATTTTACTTCTCACTCTTTTGCTCTGATCCTGTTAGTAATAAATTTAAGTAATATCCCCACTTTGAGTCTGTTTTACCTGTGAGGGTAATCAGCAACTGACCTCTCTCAGCTGTTATCTCAACTTGTGCATCCTTCACTGTTTTTTTTTTTCTCTCCTCTGTCCAGTTGCAGAGGGGTGTGAGAGAGCGGCTGTAGTGAGTACCTGGCATCCCACCAGGGTCAACCCACTGCACACACACTTTAGGAAAACAGAAGGAAATAGGATACAACTTCTAAAATAAGTTGTTGAAAAAAAAAAAAACAAATAAATCAGGGAAGTGGGAAAAATAGTTTCGGATGTCAGTGTCACAGAATAAAGTCTTTGTTCTATGCTTTGTTCATGCAAAAACTGCCCTTGTAAGAGACACCAAAGCTGTCTCTGAAACATAGCAGTAGAGCCCTGCCAACACAGTGCTGTGGCAAAGTTAAATACTGATGCAATTAGGAAGATAATCCCTCCTGATGGTCTTCTGAGAGACCCCATCACTGATGTGATCATTCTACTCCCAGGGACTGAAAAGTCTGAAGCTGCACTACCCATGGTATATGTATCAGCTCATCTGGTGCTGGTAGGATAGATCTACATAGGGATGCCTTGAACCACTTCTTTGTTTCTTTTCTTCTTCTGATAGACCCTTCTTTTAAAGTCATCCCTGCTTTTTTTGTGACTACAAGAAGGGAGGAAGTGTTACCATACCAGGTGATGCCTCAGAGCTTTTTGTGTTTTTTTTAAACTTCTGTAGGTTTTAGAAGTAGTTGTGTAGTGAATGTACATTTTAATGTAGTTGTATTATATCCCTTACACTTAACATAATAGTTACACATACACAACTCTGTTACCCCATTCCATATCAATCCCTCCAAATTCAGTTAACATGTTTAGTCTTCTTTTCAAGGTAGAATTGTAGAAAAACATTCTAAGGCCGGGACCAGAAGATATCACACAGACACAGTGACCTTCATGCCCAGAACTTTGGAGGAACTCCAAGAACTGTGCGTGCTATGAAGAAGATAAAGATGAGGAAGAAGGGGTCCCAAAGACCCCAAACCCAATTCCTGAAGGGGCATGTCGGGGGGCAGAACCGGGGGTGGACAAATCTGGGATTGTATGGACCTTATTATTGATGCCGAATTTTTGCCCCAAAAGGCACGGAGAAACTGCTTTAGAGACAAGGTTTGTTTCTTTAAAGCAGGAGGTATTTTATTAGCAATGCGTTGGGGAGCTCTCCAGGTCGCCCTGGGCAAAGAGCTCCGTCGTGTACAATCAGCATAGCTCTTTTATACAGTTTTTGAGTATAGGATTACAACACAATCATGCATATTCATTAAATTGCAACATCTAATTGTAATATTCATATGAAGGCGGAGTCTGGGCGGAGTCTTCAATTTGGGGAGATTTCACGGTGGGGGTTCCTGTTGCCTTCCTCTGGGCGGGGGTCGTGTGTGAGTCTTCCTCACTGTAAACTTCTGAACTTTCTTTCGATCTTCTCCTTTTAAGGCAGTTTTGGCAAACACAATAAGGTCAGGCTGACTTTTGGCTCATCCTACGATTTGCTGAGTTGCTATCTCTGTGAGGAATGCAGCTATCTCTCTAGGACTGCTCTAGGATTCGCTGAGTTGCTATCTCAAGGACTGCCTAGTTTCCTAATGTTAAGGTTTTGAAATTTCTCTTACAATTTTGTGTTAACCTTTTATGTTTCAAAGTTTTAAGTGAGTGGCTTCATTATAAAATAATAGAACCACTGTCTAGATGCGCATGTCATGTGTATTCCCTGGGCTTCAGGCCTGAGATTAAAGGACCTACTCTCTTTATCTTATACACTAAATTGACCTGGAGTCTTTTTTCTCCGCAGTCTCTTAAGGCAATACAGGACTAAACATTGCCGTGGGCTGAACATACCACACTAACTACCATGTCCCTGGAAAGCAGCAGACACTGTGTTAAAATCTCATTTGACTCTCAGAGTACTTAGGAAGGCCTGAAAAGCACAGGAGGACACAGGTAATTTCATAGATGTCCAGCCGTGTCCAACATCAGCAGGGAAAAAGAAACAAGTTCGGAATGGACTGAAAGTTAGAACAACAACTCTGCAAATCCATAACAGAGCAACTACTCCCAGTAGGGACTCTTCTGCAATACAATTGGTGCAGCCAAATTTTTTATGCACTTGACTGCGGTGATCAAAGGATCCTATCCTTACTTCTAAAGAGTCACTTAAGTAATACATCATTTGGATTTCTTATTGGTGATTTCCAGGTTTTCCATGTTCTATTGAAAGGTGGTTTGATTTTCGTTTGATCCAGCAATTCACAATGCGGGGCACAATAGAAAAAAAAACCAAAAGACCATTTCAAACTTTTATATATAGTGAATTGAAGTATAAGAAGAATGACATTTGCAATGCAATTACTGAAAAAGAAAGATTAAAGCTTACAAAGCTCTTAAAAAATGCTAAATGTACAAAAATCTAATTAATATTGAAAAATATTTAAACCTTCCAATTCTAACAGACTTTTAGAATCTGAGCTCTTGACCCATGAGTTTTCTTGCTTTTGCTCTTTCTAGTCTCTCAAGGATGTGAGTAGCTGTGCAGGTACTTGACTGCTGGCCAAGGTCAATCTATCACAAAGAGTTTACAAGACTGGGCTGGTTTTGGCTGGGGTAATTTTCTTCACAGTGGCTGGTATGGGGCTGTGTTTTGGATTTGTGCTGAACACAGGATTCATAAAATAGAAAGACCTTTTCTGCTTTTTGTACTGTCACGCTGGCAAGGGGGCTGGGGGTGCATGGGAAATTGAGAGGAGACACAGACAGGACAGGTGACCCCAACTGACCAAAGGGATATTCTGTACTGCATGACATCATGCTCAGTATATAAAGTGAGGGGGAAAGGAGGAAGGGAGGACAGATGTTTGGAGTGATGGCATTTGTCTTCCCAAGTAACTGTTATGTGTGATGGGGCCTTGATCTCCTGGAGGTGGCTGAACACCTGCCTGCCCATGGGAATCAGTGAATTAATTACTTGTTTTGCTTTGCTTGCATGCACAGCTTTTGCTTTCCCTATTAAACTGCCTTATCTCAACCCACAAGTTTTCTAGCTTTTACTCTTCTGATTCTCTCCCCAATCCAACTAGTGGGGAGCAAGCAAGTGGCCATATTGTACTTGGTGGCTGACTGGGGTTAAACTATGACAAAGACTTAAAAAACCTTCTTTGTGATTTAAGACATGGGAGCTGAAGCTGGCATCAGTCTTTTCACCAGAAGAGCTACAGAACTGACATAAAATTGGAACAGTTTCCAAAGGCTGACTAGCTTGGCAAGGGGCATAGCTCATTCGAGTCATTCAGAGATTACACAGCCTAAGATTATGCTACTAAGAACTTGGTTTACCTCCTTGGAAGGGTTTGTTGGTTTGTTTGTTAAATAAACCCCTAAGCTTTCCACAGTTCTGATAGGAAGAATCTTCCACATACAACTATGCAGAAGATGGGGTGTGGGATGATAGATAGAATTAAACCTAGAGGGGATTCAGAATTTTAAGGCAAAAAGCAGCTACAACTCCCTGGATGGGCTGAGGTTGACATGCTCCCCAGTACAACGATAAACATCTGCTCAGAGAAACAGAACAGGGTGTGGAACAAAGTGAAGACTACATCACCCCCCTCCATTCTAATCCCAGCAGAATGAGAGAACATTGTGATACTAAGACAGTACAGTATTTGTTTGATAAGGGAGAATTAAGATGTTTTGCTGTTGAAGCCAACAACCATGTCGAACGCCCTCCTCAGGTGCCAAACCATGACTACCACCTCCTCCCATTAGGTACAGCAATCAGAAATAAAAAATATTTATGACTAGAGTCACTCATACTCCACCCAAACATAAAGAAAATAGTATAAAAGTAAGTTGGGGAAAGGGGGAGAATACCTCAACCAAAACTGCTGGGATCAGACGACAGGCTGAATCCATCTTCTCCCCCCTCAGAGGGACGCCTTGGGTGAGAAATATGCTCTACACATGTTAAATGTTTCTTTTAGGACTTAAGTTTTTGCTTATGCTTACCGCATAGCATAATAATTAGATTGCTTCATGTGAGCTTGTACTTGCTTAATAGATGTATCAGTAGATTGCTTTAAACATATTTTTGCAGTAGACACTCTCACTGACAACCTTCGAACCTTATTAATCCATCACAATTTGTATTAATAAAAAGTGTTATACTATAAACTGTTAAAGTGAGTCCTTGCAGTTGCCAGTAGCAGATAACACCTTGGCAGGACCCTCTGAGGGGTCTTGGGTCTGTTGAGTTCCCCCTAACAAGGGAGGTCAAGGTACCCTCTGATCTTGTGAATCTGTTGGTGAAGGGTCTCCTTATGAGACACTGACAGACTATTGGATACCAGGGTCTCAACTTTCCTGGGGAACCAACAAGCAAAAATCTGAACTCCCACTTTTCACATGACATGGGGACATAGGGACACAGGAGAGTGACTCATCTCACCATTATAGAAAAACTCTCAAGTACCAAAGTACATAAAGTTGCAACATCAAAATAATACTGAAATTCACACAAATTGATTTCTGAATACAATGCAAAGTTATTATTTTTATATAATTTTAATTTGATTTTGACTTGTATCAACAACTGGTTTTGAATCATAAACAGACTAATTCCAACCAGTTGAACATCCAGGAACCAGAAAAGTATTGTCTTTACATTTATGACTCTATGCTGCACACACAGACCCCACACAGACAGCATGCAAACCCAAATCACCAGGAGCACTGGCTTTTCTTCTCAACTCTAAGAACAGATTGCAACCAGCAACGACAAGTCAAAAGTACCTATCATGCCTTTTTGGTGGGACTATCTGGGGATTTGATGCAAAAGCATGGGTCTCTGTTACAGAACTATCCAGCTTTCTATTTGTGACTATTACTGACTAAAGTACATATCTTTCTTACCTACTCATACAGACTATGAGGTACTAAGGGATACTCTCAGCAATCTATAGACAGGAGTACCTGGATCTGAAGCCAGCACTAATGCATCTCTTGCAATGCTTTCTCAATTTGTCTTTACAATGGCTGGAGCTCCTCATGCTACTATGAGGTTGATGGCAGCAGTTACAGTGACATCTCTCATGCTACATTTGTCAACAGGGATGAGCATGTGCTCCCCATAACACTGTTTCAAGACAAGGAGCATCTAAACTCTTCTTCCCAGCGAAGGCTGAGTCTGGTCCTCTTACTGAATATATTTGTAGGTAAATCACTGTGAATAAAGTACCATTTTTTATCTGACAAGATATATAAGTTAACATTTTCCCTTTCTCCCTCTTTATGTGAAAATTTGGTCCTTGTTCTATCTTACAAATACTACATAATTTTTCCTCCAATTTTTAAAACTTGATCCAAAGCTCAATCCAGTTATTTCAGTGGCCTTTGGATCGGGTCTTTTCTCATGGTAAAGTCCAATTACTAACATTTAATATTTCTCTCATTGTATTCACTTGTGATACAGGGCATCTAAAACTAATCTCTGAGATATTTTGCTGATTCATGCTAACAGCTTAGCATCAGCAGGTTCTGGTGTTTTGGCAGTAACGTAAATTCATGCTAATTTTCTATGAGATCTTTCCTTAAAAAGCAGAAATAGAAAACCCATGACAGAATAATTGTCACACAATTTATTAGCTGAAAAAAGATAAAGTCACTTATTATCTAATCTCTGGAATTTTGATTAGTATTAAGAAAAGAAGGTTTTGACAATTCATGTATCCAAACATATAGGCTGTTGCAATGTAATCCTCCCTGAGCCACCAAAACACAAAAAAAGCTCGCAAGTGGCTGAGAGTACCATATGTGCTCCCTTGCCAACTGTCTTTGCAGTTGGGATTCCTTGCCTCAGCACCATTGGGCAGCCCTGCCAATGCAACCTTGCACCGCTCCCAGCAACGACCTGTTGGGGCCATCAATCACAGTTGCAGCAGCATGAGTCAGCTCAATTCCCTAAAATCATAGAATCAGTTACGTTGGAAAAGACCCTTAAGATCACCAAGTCTACTGTTAACCTAACACTGCCAAGTCCACCACTAAACCATGTCCCTAAGCATCACATCTACACAACTTTTAAATCCCTCCAGGGATGGTGACTCCTGGGCAGCCTGTTCCAATGCCTGACCACCCTTTCTGTGAGGAAATTTTTCCTAATATCCAACCTAAAACTCCCCTGGCACAACTTGAGGCTGTTCCCTCTTGTCCAATTGCTTGTTACTTGGGAAAACTTGCTACAACTTCCTTTCAGGTAGTTGTAGAGACCTAGAAGGTCTCCCCTCAGTCTCCTTTTCTCCAGGCAAAACAACCCCAGTTCCCTCAGCTGCTCCTCAGACTTGTGCTCTAGACCCTTGACCAGGGTCACTGCCCCTCTTTGGACAGTCTCCAGCACCTCAATGTCTTTCTTGTAGTGAGGGGTTGTAAGGAGTTAAAGAGTATAGTTGCCTACCTCAAACACTGTTAAGGCCACAGAAGGAACTTGCCAAAAGATAAGACCTACTAGCCACCATATCGGGAACTGGAGATAAGCACAGAAGTGAGGAATTTGTGACAGGAAGGACCTAATTCCAGGCCTGGCAGAGGCAAGATCTGGTTAGCAAATCCTGGTTAGCGCATCCAGATAAATTTCCCACTGTGGCAAACTGTGTGAAAGGAAGCAACTGCTCATATGCATATCACCAGTCAAACAAAGATCCCTCCAAGTTATGAGACAGACAGCATCTGCAATCACCAATGACCACTGAAGTACCCCAAAATCTTGGAGGAAGTATGTGCAGGAGGACAAGCTGTCCCAGTTTACATGAGACACAGGTGTTTTGATGAGGATGAGTCATGAGAAAAGACCCAAACTCCTCCATCTAAGCAATTATAAATCCGAAATTAGGAGGCTCTGATTGAAGGAAAACAAATTATGGAAAAGGAAAAATAACAGCCCTTTATTAAAAGGTATGTGTGTATTGGCAGAAACAACAAAAAAAAACCAAGTAAAACAACTAAACAATACTCCTATACCCACAGATAATCCCCTTCAAAACAAACCAATAAACAAGTAAAGAAGAAAAAGTAAACAGTTCAGTTTGCACCATTTGGTGCAATTCTAACCACAGTCAAGAGGGGGTGCTGTTGGATCACTGGAGATGCAGAGTTTGTAGTGTCCTGTGCCAGGCACCAGGTGGCGCTGTTGGATCACTGGAGATGCAGAGCCTGCAGTT